AACCTGTGGAACCTTAACTCACCCTTCTGTGCCCAGGCTTCATGTCACCATTGATTTGAAAATGTCCCTGACGTCACAGCCTCACCCGCGAGGGCTGCCTGCTGGGGCTCGAACCACGCAGTCCCGGCTACGCCTAGAGAGGCTGTGACTTCTCTAGGGCTGGGCTGCATCGTACCCGTTTTTGTATCTCTAGCGCTTAGCACAATGCCCGGCACATAGTAAGAACCTAAAACAGCACGTCCTGAGCCAGGCTCTGGGCTGAGATTTCCACATTAACACCCCACCGCTGGCTGAGAGGTGCACTGATGGCGCCTTTGTGCTCAGCTGGACCAGGAGGAAAAGGATGAGCCCTAGTTCCCGCTTTATAGTCTTTATTAATATGTTTTACAACTGCCTGCTGGCGTTCTGGCTCCAAGAGCTACTGAAATACCTCCAGAGAGGATGATAGGCCTAAGCTTCTAGGTACGAAGGTTTCAGGTCAGATAAGGGCCACCGTAGGACACAGATATCTGCACAATAAATCAACAAGGCCTTTGGCCTTTGGCCACGATGCAATTAATTTGTGATTTTTCTCTTGGGGCAGCTGTGTCCAGGCCCAGGGAGCAGGGGTGGCAGTAGCTTCAAATACCCCCAGGCTGATTTCGAGGCGGAAACTGTCACTTTATCCCATATTCGCATTCACCTCTCTCTAGTTCTCTCTGCCTCTCCGCCCCCACGCCTGCCCCAGGAACACCGCAGGACGTCTACAGGCCCCCGGAGCACGCGGGACAACTGTGCGTGTTTGTGTATCTGTCCAGCTCCTAGGCCCTTGAAATAACCTTGGGAATATTTGGGGCAATTAACTCAAAACAAATTCTCAGCCGGTGGAAAATCCTGGAGGAGAGAGACGTTGCCGGAAACAGAGAACCTGGGCTGCCGCTCAACGCTTTCCCCCTGGGTCACCTTCTGCAAGTCACCCGGCCACGCCCAAGCCTCAGTGTTTCCAGCTGGAAGAGGGGGGACCCTGATGTCTGTCCTGCCCCCCACACAGGGGCGGGTAAGACGGAGGAACCCACTTGGCAGGTGACCCTTGGGACTGTCGCTAACCAGCCGGCGGTGGGTGGGGGCCCAGTGACACCTCTGCGGCAGTTTCTGTCCTTACCTGAAACTTTTCCCTCACTTTCCAGGTCACAGGAACAGTTTTGGGGGGTCTCAGTGGCGAATGCCGGAGAGAGCGTGGTTGTGGGGGAGCTTGAGAGGGACACGGGGAGCCCGGGGAGGCTGAGCGCGGCCACAGGGCGGGGACCGGGCTCCAGCTCTCCAGGGGCACACTCAGGAAGCCGGGCGAGCGCCCCGCAGCCCCCGCCCCCGGGGCCATGGCCAGGGCGCCTACCTTGCCGTACTTCTTCAGCTTCTGCCGGTACCTCCCCTTGGGCTTGTCGCCGGGCCCCGGCTCCTCCAGCGGCTCGTAG